TTTTTCATCCACACAACAGTCCTGCTCCCTTGTATTCTATCACATTTCTTATCATCAGTGATATTGCAAGCATCCTACACAAACTTCAGGCTTTCACGAAACTTAACTGCACATTTTGGTGAAAAGAGTCCAACTTTCAGCTGCAGCTGCAGCTTTCTATTCCTGGGATGCTCTGCGGGTCTTCTCTTTGCAAGGCACACTGGTGTATCAGGTTATTCAGAGTTTCGCAACTTTCTGGTGGCTGAAAAAACCGTAGTTTCCCCAGAATTAAACTTGGAAACTCAAGCCAATCTTCCATCCTAAAAGATCTATAGAGTGTGAGAGAGTAAACAATGACTTACCCGCAGGGGAAACCATTTCCTCTATATCATAAATGAATCACAGATTTGTTTCCCTTCGCTGGAGAGAAAGAAGTCCAAAGCAGCGACTCACAAGGTGCTGCAACGGACAACTTCTCACAAGAGCTTTGCACCTCTGTCATATTGGAAGTGATTGAATGGATCATTCCATTCATTCCATTATACAAGCATTAATCAGAGGGGAAAGTTGTTTGTGTTTCTATATTAGCTTTGATCCAATTGCAGCTTATGGATAAACTTAAAATGCCTTTCTGGGAGAAGATAAAGGCAGAGCTGTTAGTCATACAGAGACACATTGGGCAGAGTCTTCTGAAAGCAAGCATTTTGGACTCACTTCAGTCTCTGATAAACTACGTAATTCCCTGGTACACACTGGCATGGGAGACTGCTGTGTTATGACATAAAGTTTAGGTACATCGTACATCCCACAGTAAAGGAAGACATTGTTGTTGTGAACCTTCGAGTCATTTCCAACTTATAGCGACCCTAAAGTGAACGTATCACAGGGCTTTCTAGGGCTCTATAAAAAAGGGACTTGGGATGTTGTCTTACCCTAAATCCAAAGCTTGAGAAAATTAACTGTTTTGGACCATAATACAAAAGCCATCCGTCCCTTCAACCAGAGTAGCCAACAGTTCATGTTGTGTGCCTTCTGGTCCTTTCTGATTTATGGAGACCCTAAGGGGAAACTATCACAAGGTCTTCTGGAGCTGAGAGTGTGTGACTCACCCAAGGTCACCCAGTGGGTTTCCATGGTCAATCAAGGAAACAAACCCTAATCTCCAGAGGCATAGTCCAATGCTGAAACCACTGCACCATGCTAGCTGACACACCAGATATAACACTGGTCTTCAACTGCACTGGCTGCCAATTTGCTTCTGGTTTGAAATCAAGGTGCCAGTGATGACAATCAAAGTCCTAGCCAGCTTGGCACCTTGTATTTGCAAAAGTCTCACTCCTTATATATGCCTCCCCAAGAACTGAGATCTGCTGTTGGGCTGTGCTCCATGCCCCACTAGTGGGAAGAATACATCATGCAAGGACTTTTCTGCTGTAGCACCCCATGGATGGAATTTCCTCCAGCTGGTGCCAACTTTGGTCTCTTTTAGGCACCAACTTAAAACTTGGCTTTTTATTAAAGTCTTGGAGACATATAGTCATGCCACTTCTTAACAGTGGACACTGACAAGATTTTAATTGTTTTACGGTACTCTTTTCTGCTGCTTTAACCCGTTAATACTGTTTATCCTATTTAAACTGTTATGTTTTTATCTGGAGTTGTTTTGCTTGTTATAAATTATAAATATTAATTATCCAGCAGGCCCTTGTTATCCGCTAGAGCAGGGACCGGCAACCTACGGCCCGGGGGCCGGTTAAAGCCCCAGCCCCTGGACTTACCGGCCCAGGCCGAAGGTTGCCGCCGTTGCCGTTGCCACTGCTGCACGCCACCGTCGGGGCACGTTTTCGGCCGTGCTCACTGTGACTGCCATTTTGGAAGTCAAAATGGCGGTTGCGACGTGTTTGCGCATGCGAAGTATTCTTGCACATGCGCAAACGCGTCACAGCCGCGATTTGGACTTCCAAAATGGTGGCCGCGACATGCGCCGTGGTGGCTGCGGCCGTGCGCGTTACGGCGGTGGCCATGGTAGCGGCCGCAGCGGCAGCATGCGCAGGGGGTTGCGCGCGGAGGAGGGTGCGCGTGCACACATGCGCGCGTGCGCCGCCATTCCCCCCCTCAGCCCAGCCGAGACCTGGGCTACGGGAGACCGGCCCAGGTCTCAAAAAGGTTGCCTGTCCCTGTGCTAGGGTTTGGTTCCAGGGCCCCCCGTGGATACCGAAATCCATGAATGCTCAAGTCCCATTAAACACAATGGCATAGTAAGATGGTGCCCCTTATATAAAATGGCAAAATCACGGTTTGCTATTTGAAATGTATACTTTTTTTTTAATATTTCCAAGCTGTTGATACATGAATTCGTGGATAAAGAATCCATGGATATGGAGAGCCGACTGTATATCGTGCTCTATTTTCTCCCTGATACAGTGTTGAGGGTTGGTTTGTTTATATTTGCATGCAAGAGGCAGGGAGCCGACATACCCCGAGGTATGAGTTTCATTGTAAGGGAAGAAAAATATCTGTTCATGTGATCTCGATGACTGCCAAAGAGCCTCTCCAGCTGTCATTAGGCCTCTCTTTGGAGAGGGATCCTGACGAGAGATGGGTTGTTGTTTCTTACCAGCAGGTCCCAAACAAGTTGAACTTTAAAAAGCCTGAAGCCGAAGAGGGATTGGCAACTGGGTGGGCTCCCTTACCCCATGCAACCTGTAAACCTCATGTCAGGTAACATATCGGGGGTAGCGTTGTTTATGCAGTGAAGCTTATTCATTCCCAGTAATCATGATCAGATGCCTTCAAGGGCAATTCACATGGCCGCCAACAAAAGGAGTCTTTTGTCAGTGACTCTCGATTGTTCCTACTAATTTTCTCCCAGCTAAGCCATCAGGAATGAATGCATGCACACTTACACAGCAAAATGAAAAAGCAAAATGAAAAAACTCTGGGACACTAGCAATTAATTTTCCGCATACCCTCTCCGTCCGCACTCATTCATTCCTGTTGCTCATCAAGCCATGCCATCAACTAGTTTGCCAAGTTTTTGAAGAAAAAAAAAGAGATCAAGAAAAGACAAGGGGGCTGTCCACACAGGCAAAAAGAAGCGGTTTCATCTCATTTTGAGCCTTAGCTATTTAAATGATGCAATTGGCCAAAATGGAAGGAAACCGGGGCAAAGCATGGCTCCAGGGCTAAACACCCAAGCAAAATAACCTCTGGTTTGCTCCGGTTCAAGCTGGAAAGTGTGCGCTATCACACTGGAGTATGGATTGTGTGACATCAGGGCTGGCATGGGCAAAGGCCCAGGAGGCTGGAAGAGCAGCGGTCCAGAGCATGCATCCTGGGCCCGGCAAGACGCAGCCACTGGCATCACTGCTCACCATAGGCTTTTCTTTTGTTGCCCACTTGTGCACTAAGTGCACGAGCGGTCAGCTGCACCGGAGACCCATCGTGCCATCAAACCATCACACACCTTATGGAGTGAAATAATGACTAACATGATAGGTCACCAATAATGCAATCGATTTAATAAAACTATTAACAGACTAGCCGGTCCAGGAGGGGGCCATGGGGTGATGAGGAGCTTATACGGGGGTCCTCCATGATCATGGCATGTCAATGTGTCACTGGCACACCCATGCACTGCATCGGCAGTCGATCGCTTGCGTGATCGAGACATGGCCAGTTGCATGGGGCATCCAATGGTCACCTCTCCAATGGTCATCCAATGGCATCCAATGGTCACCTCCTCTTTCAACCTAGAGAGGAGATTGGTGACTGATAGCAATAGCAATAGCAATAGTAAGTACATTTCTATACTGCTTATCAGTGAACTAGCACTCCCTAAGTGGTTTACAATGTGATAGCAGTGCATCCGTCCATGCACCTTTGGGGTGGAACAGAAAAAAATAAATGACATGGCACAACACTCCA